CCTATATGTTACTATTCATTTAAGCTCAAACGACACCAGAAAAATTATGCCATTATTGAGAAAGAGGCTCTAGCTCTTGTGGTGTCCTTGGAGCATTTGACGTGTATTTGGGCACTTCCCCATTTAATATTAACGTTTTTTCAGACCACAATCCTCTCACCTACATAAACACTATGAAGAGTAAAAATGCTAGGATCATGAGGTGGGCACTCAGAATCCAACCTTATTCTATTAGTATAAAACACATAAGTGGTCATTGTAATGTAACTGCTGACGCTCTGTCACGTCCTTAATAATTATCAGTTACATTAAATTAACATAATTTTATGCCCAAATACCTTTTGTTACTTGCTATGTCAAATTCAGTAGAGTAACTTAATCCCTCCAGCCCATGTTAACTATGTATACTCAAGTCATGTCTAATTATGTTATTTATATATTTACAGTAGTGGTGATATATGTGGGAGGAGACAGAAGCTGAGTGTTGAGTGGGTAGTGTTGTGTGGGCAATGTTATTGCGTGGCAGAACAGTCCTGCCGCAGACCCCTCCCCTCACTACACACCTTAAGCTGTTTCATACTCAGATGTCCATACTGCATAGCATTCCACAACCACTACTTAAGAGTGGAATGGCATCTCCTGTCTATAGCACAAGACTATTATGCAGTCTCCACTACTATGATCGAGCCTCAACGTGTCATGCTTGTCTACGCTATCCTGTCTCTACACTGATGTACATAACCACGAGTATGCAGAGATACGATACTGTGTACTGCCCTAGTACTAGGGGCATATCTTAGTGATATAGACACTGAAATTATGGAAGTGCTTGGCACAAGAGTGACTCTAGGTTTTTATATTAAATTGTATTAGTGACATGAGTAATCAGTAATAATGTGAAAGACATTAATGCAACTCCCAGTGTGACCGTTTGCCGTGTTGAGGGGGTGTTGCAACCCCTGAATGGGTTACAATGTATATGATGTATATATATATAATGTATATTACCTTTTCATATACTAATTTTATATTGCTTATATTTGCGATAACAGCTAAATCGTAAATATATGACTTTATATTATTATTTGTCTTAGTTACTTTTGTTAGGTAGGATGTAACATATTATTATGTGCTCATAGTTCAAGTCTTGATTGTCTAACTACTGTAATAATCGCTCTTTGCTCGTTACTCTGCTGGCTTCTGTTGCTAGGCAGCAACTGTCCACGGAGCTATCACATGGTCGAGGGGGGGGGGTGTTCCCCAACCTCGCCTGAAGTATTAAGTCTGGTCTAGACTCGCTTGGTGGTTGGATGTATTCTATACAAGACGAGCCTAAATCTCCCTTATTGGCCCTTGTTGGAAGATCGTCTCTTGTCTCATTATTCTTGTTAGTTCTGGAGACTCTGTTCACAGAACATTGTATAGACTTAGTGATTTTCGATGTTGTACTGAGGTTGTGTGTCTCAAAGACACTCTGAGCAACTCAGGTTCTGAGCTGTAGCTTCTGACCTAATTTGTACTGGTATCTGTGTATTGTCACAGTTGGGGATTTTCTTATGCTGAACTTAGATTCAGTAGTATGGGAGTTTTGAGACTTTTGTGGAGGATCTGCTGATGGTCCCTACTTAGTGTTGTTATATTATCTCCTTGATCCTGATTGTGTTGCAGTTGCTTGTTATATTGCTATTGGGCTTAGCATTCTTTTTATTGTTCAAGCAGACTGTTCTGATTGCCAGTCGGTCAAGAACTTAGTTTATGAGAGGACTTTGTCAGTCATTTGTTTAAGTCTAGTCGAGTCGTGAGACATAGCGAACTACTTAGAGCACTTACACACATACACACAAACTTATTTGTACATATTTGTAATATCTTATTAAATGTTAATGTACCATACGGTACTTAAGACATAAATATGTGATATGTGCTTTCAGCACAATAATACTGTACATGAGAGAAGCGATTAATATTATTTTGATTACTGTGATTAATTTAATTTAATTTGATAATATACCTCTAGACTTAATTAATAAATTTATTAAATTTTATTTTCTCTAGTTAATAGCCTACCAGTTGTAATCCTGAAGCACTAATAATTCTTATTGAATTCTAATGGATAATTGGACAAGGATACTGACTAAGTGTTACGAAAACCCAGTAACAGGCTGGATGCTAGAAGGGCAGTCCTTTCTAGTATTCACTGGAGATCTCTAAGCTTTTAGAATCGCGTTTTTTGTAACAGGTGATAAAATAAGACCACGTTCATCAAATGTCACCATTATCAGCAGTGGAGTGATAAGATAAGACGAGTGACACACTCTTACATGATGCTTCAAGGGAACCTATTATTATTGTTATATACTCCCATATCCAAAACATTGCTGGGACCTATAAATACATACTATGTATATATATTTCTAGACAATAGTAGGTGACTAAGGTAAATGAAAATGTTCACCTATCACTGTGTTTGTGACTATTTGAGTACTATTTCAGTACCTAATATTAGTGTCAGAACAAAAATTGGGTATCAAATTACAAGAACTACTATAAATAGTAATTATCAGAACATAAAAATTATATAAAATAATATGAAAACGAGAAAAAAAGGTATATCAGCAACACTTCTGCAAGCGGCAGGACTCCATGTTGCCTTCAGATGAGCATCAAGGGCCAACTTCGCAGGCTCATATCTCAGTGAGTACTGACCCTAAAAAAAAAATTTTATCCTATGACACGTAGAAAAATGCGTTCTTTATTTCTATAAAAAAAACAATTTTTTTTTTTTCAAAATATTCGGAGTGCTGGGTGAGAGAACATAGATCTACGTTTGTAAAGTTAACGGGTTAAACAATGTATAAGTGAAACGGGTTAAACAATGTATAAGTGAAAAGGAACATATTATTTGAAAAATAAATGAAATCGGATACAGAATATTATGGCTTTGGAACACATTTTCAATTGATGAATATGACACATGTGCAACACTTGATTATCTTTATTCCTGAAACATTCTGCCTGCACAACAGGCTTCTTCAGTCAAATATGGGTGAATATAACACCAGAGACAGAAGAATAAGTAGATTTGATATAATCAGTCTTTCAGCCATGTTAGGAGGTGGTCAGTCTTTCAATTTAAAAATGTGTGAATGGGAAAATAGACTATGAGTTCCAAACACTAAACTTACAATTTTCAAGGGGTAAAATGGTAAAAAATGATCAGAGATGTGACGGGTGGGATGGAAGACATACACTAAAATAATACTCTACAACGGTTCAGACACCTTAAGATGACCAAAGGTATACTTTCATGGAAGATATACAGGAGTGAAGTACAGTGGACCCTTGACCGATGATTTTAATCTGCTCCAGAGAGCTTGTCCTTAGCCGAATTTATCTTTAGCCAAATTAATTTTCCCCATAAGAAATAATGGAAATCCAATTAATCTGTTCCAGACAGCCAAAAGTATTAAAAAAATAATTTTTTTTACATGAAATATACATTTCCCTACAAAGAAAATAATGAGATATGCACAATAAATACATAAATAAATAAGAAAATGACACTTACCTTTTTTGAAGAGTATTGATGAGTGATGAGACACTGTTTTTCTTGAACACTCTGGGATTTTCAGAGTGATACACGAGTAAAGGCTTCACTTTGCAATCCCCACTAGCATTACAACAAAACAAGAAAGTTAGCCTGTCTTTCATAGGCTTGTGTCCTGGGAGTGCCTTTTCCTCCTGAGTAATGTAGGAACTGTTTGGCATTTTCTTCCAGGACAGGCCTGTTTCATCACTGTTGGGGCTGGAAATTTTCAGCTTCATCATGCCTTATCACACTGTGTATGCCACTTATAACTCTCAAACCAACCTTTGCTGGCCTTAAATTCCCCAATATGAGCACTAGTTCCAGGCATTTTTTCCTGTTCACCTGGGTGTTAGTTGACTGGTGTGGGTCGCATCCTGGGGGACAAAATTAAGGACCCCAATGGAAATAAGTTAGACAGTCCTCGATGACCCACTGACTTTCTTGGGTTATCCTGGGTGGCTAACCCTCCGGGGTTAATTGTTTCTCAGTAATTGTTTCTAATTAAGCCACACCAACAACATTCTCTCCACATCTTCGAGTAGTACAAGTGACGGTGGTGCAGCAACAGCAGAAACTGACCATGGTACAGCAGCAGCTGATGGTGGTACAGCAGCAGCTGACAGTGGTGCAGCAGCAGCTGACAGTGATACAGCAGCAGCTGACAGTGGTGCAGCAACAGCAGCAGCTGATGGTGGTACAGCAGCAGCTGACAGTAGTACAGCAGCAGCTGACGGTGGTGCAGCAGCAGCAGCAGCAGCAGCTGACTGTGGTACAGCAGCAGCTGATGGTGGCACAGCAGGAGCTGACGGTGGTACAGCAGCAACCGATGGTGGTACAGCAGCAGCTGTCAGTGGTGCAGCAACAGCAGCAGCTGACAGTGGTACAGCAGCAGCTGATGGTGGTGCAGCAACAGCAGCAGTTACAAGCACTAAAAACAATGGAATAATACAAAATATATCACATGCATGTGTGAAACCATCTGCCCTGACTTTTAAACAATGGCACACTAGCTGAAGGCAAGGCAGCTGAGGCGCTCAGGCTGGACAGACAGGCAGACACGTTCAGGACGAATGTCCTTACCTGAGTTTTTCATCATTGGTCGAGCCAATATTTTTACGCAAAAACACATCGTTGCCCGATTTTATCGTTAGTCGATGCCATCGTTGGTCGAGGGTCCACTATACAAGGAAATAATGGTGAGTAGACAACCTACTTCATAGAAAAGGAGTGCAGAGAGATTACTAAAGGCATAGGGTTATATAACATGATAGATGACTATATTACATCAAAGGTACATAGCTATTTCCGTCATGATCATCCTCTTTCAGGGGCTCTAGGAGGGGGAAACCATCAGAGATATAGAGAAATAAAATATCTAAATAACATAATTTTAACAGCAATGGACACATACCTGCATATAATACATTGTAAATCCAGAAATAGGTGTCTTTACTGTTTGAGGATATGACCAAATGACCTGCAAACTAGTTGGGGAAGTGGGAATGACTTTGAGATTTTCTGGTGCTGATGGTAAGTCCAGGTCAGGCTTTGTGTACACAGGCACTTCATCACTTGATGCTCCAACTAGACCATTTGAAGTGTGGGCAACCACACGAACCAAATAGTTACTCCCAGGAATAAGGTGACTGATCTGTGTTTTGTATTCATCCAATCCCTCACTTGATGAGCTGGCACTCACATTCTGAACACGCTCCCTGTATCAAGTTTATGAATTAAAAATCAGTCTCTTTTTGAAATATGAATTATTGAGTCAAATATGTTCAACAAATCCTGAAAACTGTTTCAATAAATTACAGTTTTCCATCAAATCAATGGTAGTACTAGAAAGAACAAATATATTACCTAAGAGAACCTTCCTGTCTATAAAACACTGAATACCCAACAATGTGATCATTGTTCTTCTCAGGTTCATGCCATGCAAGAGTGATGAATCTATTACTGGCGATTATAGCTTGCAAGTGTCTGGGAGGTGATGGAGCCAGTGAGTGACTTCCACTAATAACATCCCCAGAATCACCACTCTCACTACTGTCCTCCTCTTGTACTGAGCCACCCTTGGAAACACCTGTTGGCAATTATATGGGTATTATATCTATTCTTTTCTGTTGCAATTTATCGGGCAAAACTTTTGCTGTAAAAATTAAACAAAATAAATATTCTTTGCAAAATTTAGGGTTTTACTGCATATCAGTGATGGTAAAAATTAAAAGAATACAAAACATGTTAACTGCAATTAATGAAGCAGTTATGAGCATAATCACTAGTACATAATAACCAGAGTTGCTCGACATTAAAAGTGGTACAGACCAAAATTAAAATGGAGGTACTTACCTTTGAATATTTTAAGTAAATATATATGAAGTGAAAGAATTTTTGATAGAAATATATTTACATGATGAAAGGGGCTCTTGTTTGAGACATGTTCATACTTTCATACACATGGTAGTTGATATAAGCATATATCTAAGTGCATACTTAAAGTTTAATGCTACATATCTACAGCATAAGTAACTACTGTATAATGAAACAAAGTGAAACTGATTTTACAGAGATTAAAATAATCCAACACATGACCCATCTCCATTAACATCATGCCAAGGGTGCACATTAGTTACCTTTTTTTACACTGTACAATTGTGATGCTTTCCATTACAGACTAGACAACTCTACACACACATTGTATACTACACATCCATATTAATTTATCCTGTGTATTTTGCAGCATTAAACACATAAAAAATAGTAATAAAGTTGGTAGAATTACCGACAATATGTAAAGTAAAAGGACACAAGTGCAACTAATGTGACATTTATTGTGGCAACGTTTCGCTCCCCAGGAGCTTTATCATGCCATTACAAACAATACATGGACACAGAGGGTATATAAAGGTTCAGAGTGAGGTGAATACTAGTGAGGTACCATTTCGATGTTCACTAGTGGTAGTAGTAGTAGTAGTAGTAGTAGTAGTGGTAGTGACAAAAGTAATACAATATGGTAGAGCAATTAATTCGTACATGAGTAAAAGGATATAAAAGCTATTACTTGGGTAACATAAAAATAGGTTGGACAAATATAAACTGGAATGAGGCAGCTTGTTTCAGTGTTCACTCTCTGTGCTTTGTGTAGTATAACAGGAGAGACTATGTGATGGCAGGGTTTACTGTTTTCAGGAGGATTCTTGCTAAGACATCGGAGATGGTGAAGCTGCCGTTGTTTTGTTTAATTGTATTCGAAACAGCGATCAGTGCTGATTCGAGGCACTTGCGTCTGCGGAAATTAGTTTCTTTGATCACTAATTGGGCGTCTCTGAATTTCATGAGATGATTGGTGGAATTTCGGTGTTGTACACAGGCGTTGTTCAGGTTATCGTTCCTACATGCGTAAATGTGTTCATTGAGGCGGGTGTCGAGGTTTCTGGCTGTTTTCACCTACGTAAATCTTGTCACAGCCTCCACAGGGTATAGTGTAAACTCCTGCATTGACTGGTTCGTGGTGCTTGGATTTTGTCCTGGTTATATCCTTTATTGAAGTGCTAGAAGCGATGGCAACTCTGGTGTTAGCTTGTGAAAGTGCTTTTGAGACGTTCAGTGCAACCTGACTGTTGGGAAGAATTATAACTTTGCTGGGAGTGGTGTTGATGCGTGGAGAATTTATGATCTGAAGAGCTCTTTTCTTGCAGTCTTTGATGAAAAAAAGAAGGAAAATGTAACTCTGTAAATTTTTGGTGAATTTGTACACCCCCTCGTCAAAAAACCGGGACTACAAATTCGTATGCTCTTGGGAAAAACCCCATGAGATGCCTCTTTGGTCTGGATCTTACTGGAATAGAATGTTGAGATCATTTTTATTGGGGGTTCCGATAAACTTGAAATCTTGGGTTGTTGTCTACTTTGTGAAGGGACGTAAAGGGAAAAGGGTAGTTTGTCTTGGACTCTTCTTCTAGTGAAAAACTGGATCCCCGGTTAAACTGCTTTGACCCCTTGCCTAAAGACCCCGTACTAAAAACGTTTTGGGTTATTACGGGGACATGCCCACGTAATAACCAAGTGACGCTTAAAGGGAGATTTTTGGCAAGTGTTCGGACTCTGGGTTTCCATGTATAGTTGGGTAGGGCCCGATGGGGCCCCATCCCATGCCGAGGTTTGTTTTAGAGCTTGTTATTGAAAGAAAAACAGTTAAATTTAAAACAGAGTTCCCAATTAAATCAAAAAAATCTCCGGAGTAAGGGAAAATTAAGGTCCTATTGACTTTTCGTCGTAGAACCTCATGGCTTTTTTGGTAGGTACTTTTGTGAAGAGGGGAAATCACATCCAAAATGCTTAGTTTTTTGTTACGGGTGGAGAGGGTTCGGATGGGTTGAAAGGTCACCTGAGTGTTTAAATGAGCGGGCTGATGGCCCAGAAGGGAGAAAAATGTTTGGCAGAAATCCGCTAGTTTTGTGGAGCACTAACACCAAGTCCCCCCTCGCTTTTAGCACTTCAAAAAGGATATAACCAGGCAAAATCCAAGCACCACGAACCGTCGTGCAGGAGTTTACACTATACCCCGTGGAGGGTTTTACAAATTTACGTAGGGGAAAAAAGCCCGAAACCTCACACCCCCTCAATGAACACATTTACGAGTAGGGGGAAAGAAACGAACAACGCCCGGTAAAACATCGAAATTCCACCAATATCCATAAATTCAGAGACGCCCATTAGGATCAAAAAAAAATTCCGCAGACGCAAGTGCCCCGAACAGCACGATCGCTGTTTTTGAAAAACAATTAAAAAAACAACGCGCTTCACCATCTCCGAAGTCTTAGCAAGAATCCTCCTGAAAACAGTAAACCCTGCCATCACATAGTCTCTCCTGTTATACTACACAAAGCACAGAGAGTGAACACTGAAACAAGCTGCCTCATTCCAGTTTATATTTGTCCAACCTATTTTTATGTTACCCAAGTAATAGCTTTTATATCCTTTTACTCATGTACGAATTAATTGCTCTACCATATTGTATTACTTTTGTCACTACCACTACTACTACTACTACTACTACTACTACCACTAGTGAACATCGAAATGGTACCTCACTAGTATTCACCTCACTCTGAGCCTTTATATACCCTCTGTGTCCATGTATTGTTTGTAAAGGCTTGATAAAGCTCCTGGAGAGCGAAACGTTGCCACAATAAATGTCACATTAGTTGCACTTGTGTCCTTTTACTTTACATAAAAAATATGTGGAAATGTAGTTATTCTTAAATGAGGAGGAAAAATCTTGTTCTGGTAAGCTAAAAGATGCTTAACCATGGGTATATGGCACTGGTATTCCAGGAGCTGCTTTAAGTACGGGCATACAATAATGGTATTCTAGCATAAGTATGCCAACTGCTGCTTAACAAATAAGAAGGTCATCATTTGCCAAAGGCTCACATTAGGAGTTTTATTTTAGACCAAAACTAACTTAGACATCTCACCTAACCTAACTTACACTAATGTAATATATATTCATCTTTTCTTTCTTTCAACACACCGGCCATATCCCACCAAGGCAGGGTGGCCCAAAAAGAAAAACGAAAGTTTCTCTTTTAAATTTAGCAATTTATACGGGAGAAGGGGTTACTAGGCCCTTGCTTCCGGCATTTTAGTCACCTCTTACAACAGGCATGGCTTACGGAGGAAGAATTCTGTTCCACTTCCCCTTGGAGATAAGAGGAAATAAACAAGAACAAGAACTAGAAAGAAAATAGAAGAATACCCAGAGGGGTGTGTGTATATATATGCTTGTACATGTATGTGTAGTGTGATCTAAGTGCAAGTAGAAGTAGCAAGACATACCTGAAATCTTGCATGTTTATGAGACAGACAAAAGACACCAGCAATCCTACCATCATGTAAAACAATTACAGGTTTTCGTTGTACACTCACTTGGCAGGACGGTAGTACCTCCCTGGGCGGTTGCTGTTTACCAACCTACTACCTGAGGTTCCTAAACCTGTATTCCCTGGAATGCAGGCGGGAGAGATACATGATTATATACACCTGGAAAATCCTAGAGGAACTAGTACCGAACTTGCACACGAAAATCACTCACTTGGCAGATGATGCAACATCCCCCCAATGAAAAGCAGGGGTGTCACTAGCACGTTAAGCGACCATACAATAAGTGTCAGGGGCCCGAGACTGTTCAACTGCCTCCCAGCATACATAAAGGGGATTACCAACAGACCCCTGGCAGTCTTCAAGCTGGCACTGGACAAGCACCTAAAGTCGGTTCCTGACCAGCCGGGCTGTGGCTCATACGTTGGTTTGCGTGCAGCCAGCAGTAACAGCCTGGTTGATCAGGCTCTGATCCACCAGGAGGCCTGGTCATAGACCGGGCTGCGGGGGCGTTGACCCCCGGAACTCTCTCCAGGTAAACTCCAGGCTAGGATGTAATATATATATATACAGTGGACCCCCGGTTAACGAACTTTTTTCATTCCAGTAGTATGTTCAGGTGCCAGTACTGACCGAATTTTTTCCCATAAGGAATATTGTGAAGTAGATTAGTCCATTTCAGACCCCCAAACATACACGTACAAACGCACTTACATAAATACACTTACATAATTGGTCGCATTTGGAGGTGATCGTTAAGCGGGGGTCCACTGTATATATATATACAGTGGTCCCTCGTTATTCGTAATTAATCCGTTCCTGGAGCCATTACTGTAAATGAAATTTACGATTTACGAATCAATTTTTCCCATAAGAAATAATGTAAATATAATTAATCCGTTCCTGACACCCAGAAGTATTAAAACAAAAAAAATTTTAACATGAAATATACATGTAGTACATAAACAATACAATGGGAAATGATGAATGAAACATTAACAGCATAACACTTACCTTTATTGGAGATTCTTCTTAGTGTATGGGAGACTGGAGGAGGAGAGAGAGTGGATTGTTTATAGTTTGGAAAGGGAATCCCCTTCCATCAACACCTCAGGTACCATTTGCTTTTCTGGGGTTGCTTCTCTTCTCTGTTTCTTAATGCCACTAGGACCACCTTGAGAGTCACTGGAGTCCTGTCTC